TACACTTTGTAATTGGTTGGTTTGTATTCTTGAAGTAAAGAAAATTTCCAGGGTATCAAGGCTAAATAATCTTGCTCTTAGTATGCTTAAAATGAGATCAAAAAAGTTTTTGTCTGGATATAAGATATAAAATACTTGGATAGATAGACAGTTTTTTTCCTGTAACGGAACTTCATTAGTTCAGTGAAGTAACAAAAACATTTATTACTACTATGTACTATCAATTCATTCATTTTGATATTAACTCTATTAGTCACAATAATATAAATAAATGCAGTACATTTTTAACGTCTTTTGGAATTCACCATTATCTCAAATTTAAATATTCCTATTAACAATGATTGTTCTAATAGGATCCAGCACGCATAAAGTAATCCTGATTTTGTTGGGATCTATATTCTCAAACATGCTGCCATCTAGTGGTTGCTGTGCAGATATATGTTKCTCTTCAAATACTTGATCTCACCAAACAAATTGGATTCATAATGTATGGCTTACATTACACCCTGTTTATATTATGTCTAAGGCTGCAGGTGGAGGGAAAAAAATCTTGCAGTAAATCTATTCTGTGGTATTTCTGAGTCCTCTGCGTGTCATTGCCAATAAGATAGAAAATGGATGATATGATGTATGAGTGACCATGGCCTATTGTATTGTTTTAACCAAAAGGGCACCAGCTGCAGTCACAGAGCCGAAGCGTGAAAAGTGGAAATCTGACCCGTCGCTTTCGAGCAGAATGAAAACACATCCTCCCCTGACCTTTCTGCTTCATTACCTGCCATGATACCTCGTAAATTGAAGAGAATACAGTGCTGCTGTCACATCCAGGAGGTGATTTCAGTTTTTTTTCTCTTCACACTTTTATTTATTTATTTTGTCTTCTGGTGTGAAATTCAGTAAGGCTGACCTCATTTCTGCTTGAAAGGATCTATAAACTAATAGGCCTTTTAAACTTGGTTAATTGTCAAATAAATGCCGAAATTATGACACCGGCAACCGGTTTATTTTTTAGTGTCATTGTAAGAGCAGAGAAAGAGCGTCAAACACTCTGACACACTGACATGAAAATTAAAGGGAATTGCATTTGGTATTCATGAATTTGTGTTTAGCAACGAAGGAAAATTATTCAAGGAGTACGTTCTGGTAAAATAAAAAATCTCATATTACATATTACATGAATAGAACAAAAATGCATATGAAAGTTGTTTTGAATTGCAATTTAAAACATTTCTCTGACACATGAAAATTAAAGGGAATTGCATTT